GATGGAGACCACTACAGAAAACTGCAATTAATCAGAATGCAGAGCTGTGGAGCCCAGTCCCAGTGGATGTGTCTACAAAACACTCCCACACCTAAGGCTCAGGGTATGTTGCAAAAGAGGGGGCAGAAAGATTGTAACAGCCAAAGGATCAAGGGATTTGCTCTGATACTGTGTCTCCTCATAATATCAGAAGCTACACTGTAAAGTCTCACTGATGCGACTACTGAAATGTGAGCTGAACAAAGCTGACACCAATGGACTACCAAACTGGATAGAGAGAAGCCCACCAGGCCTCAAACCTACACAAAGAACTATTTATAGTTGGTCTGTCTCAGTTGTTTACACTGAGGAAATGTAGGAGGAGCAGGAGAGGTGGCCTTCCCCAAAGAAGAGCACACCAATGGGTTGCCCAGTGCCAAAGGGTCAGCCCCGAAAACATACACACAGGTTAGTACATGTATGTATGCATGCAATAAACCATTAGTGAAAAAAGAGGCTATAAATTTGAAGGAGAGCAGGGAACAGCATATGGGAGGGTCTGCAGGGAGGAAAGGGAAGGGGAAAATGGAATTAAATTATAATTGCAAAAAAACAAAATAAAAATAAAAAGGAAAGCTAGCTATGCATCCGCCAGTGGGCAAGCCAGGGCCAACAGCATTCTTGTATCATTTCTGCCTCCAGGTTTCTTCCCTCAGTAATGGACTGTAACCAGGAAGTGTAAGACAAAACCTCTTTTTCCTCTCCAGGTTGCTTCTGGTCATGGCGTTTGTCGCTACTGAGATCAAACTAGAAGAAGCAAGAACCTACTTGCTTGATATCTACAGCATCATCCTTCTTCTAGACTGACATATGTGTGGTCCGAGGAATAATTCATGTTTCCTAAAAGCCCTAGAGAGTGTGTATTGGGTGCCTCTCAACTCTCTTTTTATTTGTCATTTAGGCAAATTACCACAAGATGGCAGCTCCATCCTAAAGGAAGAACTGGGGCTACCCCAGTGTGGGTTTTTGTTTTGTTTTGTCTTTTTGTTTGTTTTGTTTTCTGTTGTTGTTGTGTTCTTTTTCCCCTCCCAAGACAGGGTCTCACTATGTAGCCCTGGCTGTCCTGGAATTCACTCTGTAGACCACGCTGGCCTTGAACTCACAGAGATCGGCCTGCCTCTGCCTCCTGAGCGTTGGGATTAAAGGCATGTGCCAGCTAGTCCCCTTGTTTTTAAATCACAAAATAATTTAAGAGTGCTCACAAATGCTGTGACCTGGCCAGTCTGTTTGTGGGTAGATAGCCGAACAACTGAAAGCAGAATCTCCCAGAGGTGTCTACCCGTGTTCACAGTGATTGATACGATGGAAGCCACCAGAATGTTCAGACAAATGAATGGACAAACAAAGTGTGGTCCGACATACACAATGAGGTGTTGAATGTGCTTAAAAAGGAAACGCTACAAATAAGGGAAATAAGCCAGACACAAAAAGACACACATTGCCACTCTTAGGCTGTATCTAGGGTAGTCAGAGCATAGAACTAGAAAGTAGAATGCTGGTTGCCGGGGGCTGGGGAGAGTGGGGAGTGGGGAGTGGTTTAATGGACGTAGCGTTTCAATTTCACAAAATGAAAAGTTCAGAAGATGAATTACACAGCCACATGATGACTCTTGTTATGTATTTCTGTTGTTTGAGACAAGGTCTTATTATTCAGCCCAGGTTAGCCTTGAACTTGTAACCTTCCTGACTCAGTCTCTCAGTGTTGGGATTGCAGTCCATGCACCACAAAATGCCCAACTTTGTTGGGCATTATCTGGTGCATGTGTATGCACATGTTCCTTCCTTTACTCTCCATCTTATTTTTTATGGCAGGGTCTCTCACTGACCTGGGGCTGGGTTATTTGACTTGACTGGCTGACTAGCAATCCCCAGGGCTCGATCCTCCTTTCTCCACCTCTCCAGTGTGGGGGTTACAGACACACACCACCACACTCGGCTTTTATATTGGTACTGGGGGTCAAGCTCAGGTCTTCATGCTTGTGAGGCAAGCCGTCTCCCCAGCCCAGTTATGCACTGCTTTTTGTTTTGTTTTGTTTGTTTGTTTGTTTTGGTTTTTTCGAGACAGGGTTTCTCTGTGTAGCTTTGTGCCTTTCCTGGAACTCACTTGGTAGCCAAGGTTGGCCTCAAACTCACAGACATCCACCTGGCTCTGCCTCCCGAGTGCTGGGATTAAAGGCGTGTGCCACCACCACCCGGCCCAGTTATGCACTGTTAATGAACACTCAGAAGAGCGCTCATAGAGAAACAGCTGTAGGACTCCCGCTGACAAAGTGGGTCTGAGCCAGACTCTCAGTGAGCAGACACATCATTTTCCTTTAATCTTCTAAATCTCCCACAGCAACTATTATCTCAACCCTTTACCCTCCCTGAAGGTCCCTGGTTGTTGAAATAATGTAGGTGGATAACCTTGGAAGCCAGCCTGTGGCCTGGCATTGCAGACACACCATCACTTAAATACCAAAGAAAAGTCCTCCCTTGCTGGAAAATCTGTTCAAAGACAGAGTTACCTGCTGACAGCCAGGCCACCTGGAGCAATTTTAACGAGATAAAATAATGAGATACTTGTCAGTTGCCTGACCTACTGGAGTTTGCAAAGCCCTGTTCATGTACTGTCAAATTTCATCCTCAATGTAATTTGAAAGCAGCTACTATTTATGTGCAAGTTCCAGGAAACTGAGGCTCTGAGAAGTCAGGGACCTCAGTGAGTGGCAGGGCTAGTCCCAGGTTTATTCAACTCCCAATGCATTGCTTTGTAATTAGCAGTTTTCCAACAGATAGAACTTGGGCCCATGAGCTGACAAAACCCCTTTGTCAACTCTGGCATTGACTCCATTGAGTAAAAATAAGTAAGGGAAGACTCATGGGCTGGTCTAAGGTTTCTAGGTGAGCCTGTATGAAAGGACAGATACCAGGAGCTAGGGTGGGGTATCTCAGTGGTGAAACACTTGGCTATCATGCATGAGAACCTGGGCTTGTTCCCCAGTACCACCCCAGAAATAAAGCAAAATGAAATTACATGATACAACTACCTGGCCATCCTGGCCATTCTGAAAAACAAGAGGGGTGGGGCGTGAGGGAGAAGGGGAGAGAGAGAGAGACAGAGAGACAGAGACAGAGACAGAGAGACAGAGAGACAGAGACAGAGAGGAGAATTCTACATGATCTCTTGTGTTTTAAGTATTGGTGATTGGACTGGGCATGGTGATGCATGCCTAATCCCAGCACTTGGGAAGCAGAGGCAGGTGGATCTCTGTGAGTTCCAGGTCAACCTGGTTTATATAGTGAGTTCTAGGCCAGTCAGGGCTACACAGAACTACCATGCTTTAAGCTGCCTCAAACAAAGAAACAAACAAACAAATATATAGGCTGGAGAAATGGCTCAGTGGTTAAGAATACTGACTGCTCTTTCAGAGGACCCAGATTCAATTTCCAGTACCTACGTGGCTGCTGATAACCATCTGTAACTCCAGTTCCAGGGCTTCTGATGCCCTCTTATGCCCTCTGCAGGCAATGCACACACATGATGCACAGACATACATGTAGGAAAAACACCCGTACATGTAAAATAAAATGAAAGTGTTGGTGATTGTATTACTCATTTGGAATACTATGACAAAACACCTTTAGCTCATTAACTTTAGAACAACATAGGTTTGTTGCTCACAATTTAAGAGGCCAAAAGTCCAAGACTAAGCAGCTGACAAATTCAGTGTGTGGTGAAGCTCACTTGCTGGTTCATGGACAGACCTTCTCACTATCCTCACATGGTAGAAGGGTCCAGAAGCCTCTCTTGGCCCCCTTTTATAAGGGGACTAATCCCACTAATGGTGTCTCCACTTTAAGACCAAATCTTCTCCGAATACTATCACACTGGTGATTCTGTTTCAATGTATAAATTGCATGGGGCTGGGGTCACAGCTTAATGGGTAAAGCGCCTGTCTGGTAAGTAAATGAGGACCTGTGTTCCATCACTAGAGCCCACATTTAAAAAGCCAAGCACGGTGGCATGTGCTATGATGCTAGACCTGGTAGGCGGAGTCAAGGGCTCTCAGGGGCTCTCAGGCCTGCTCAGCCCGCTAGGTGAGTTCCAGTGGAAGACCCTCCCTTTAAAAAAAAAATTAGAGCACTGGCTCCTCTTCCAAAGGTCCTGAGTTCAATTCCCAGCAACCACATGGTGCCTCACAACCATCTTGTAATGAGACCTGGCGCCCTCTTCTGGCCTGCAGGCTGAACACTCACTGTATACACGACAAATAAATAATTAAAAAAAAAAAAAGAAAGAAAAAAAAAATTAAAGAATGAACAGTTTCTGAGACACAACAAGATTGTTCTTTGGCCTCCGCATGCATGCACACACATATGCATCTACACACAATGAACAAGTTCACACACGTGTGTGCAAACACACACAGAGAAAGCACTTTAGGTAGAGCAAGCATTCAACACTATTGGGGGTAAACTGGAGTTGTAGAAAAAGCACTGTGGCAGGGGTAGAAGGGAGGGGTAGGGGTGGAAAGGGTAGGCATATAAGAGGGGTGGTAAACAAACCAGGCCTGTGGCTGTCTATGGTCTGTGGGTCTCCAGGTTGCTACCTTGCCCTATCTGACATCCTCAAGGTCTCCTGAAAGCAAAGAATATTCTAGAACACATGCTAAATTCCCAGCTTTCAGACTAGCTGTGCTTGCTACCACCCACGCAGACTTTTTGTTTTGTTTTTTCGAGACAGGGTTTCTGTGTAGCCCTGGCTGTCCTGGAACTCGATCTGTAGACCAGGTTGGCGTCAAACTCATACAGATCCACCTGCCTCTGCCTCCCGAGGGCTGGGATTAAAGGTGTGAGCCACCATGCCCAGCCACCCACTCAGATTTTTAAACAACAGATCAGGGACCTACAACCCAAACTCCCAAGTCCACTCCAAGGTGGGAACTGACGGGAGTAGTCTGCTGCACTGCAAAACTTACCAGGTCAGAGTCTGGGCATAGATCAGTTCTAGAACATTCCTGGCAATGTCAAACTCCTGTAAGCTGAGACTTGTGAGGAATTTCATCCCAATGAACCTGTGAAAACATACTACATTTAGTGCTCAAACGACAATTCAGAGCACCCCCGTGACCAGTACAAACAGCAGCAGAGACCCTCAATAGTTAAGAATGAAGCTGCAGGTCCTAGAGCAGTTTCTCTAGTAGTGGAGGAAACCGGGGAGATGTGGGATTATTGCAATGCAGTCAAGTAGGGAGCTACTATGATGATTGTAAACAATTCTAGAGGATGTTGGCCGCCCTCATTTAAATCAGCCAACCTACTTTCTGGTTGATCCCATTCTTTATTACATTTTTTTTTCCCATGAAGCAAATAAGCCAAGCGCCTCCCAACCCACATGCATTTTTAAAAACTATTTTTGGTGCTGAGGATGGAACCCGGGGCCTTGTATATGCTAAGTGTGCCCTCTACCACTGAGCCAACTAAGCCACACATACGGTTACTGCCTTAGAGCCAGTGATGCTCTGTGTTCCCTAAGGAAGAAAACAAGCTCTCTATATACTTTGGGGAAACTTTATTTCTTTTTCTTGCTCTCTTAAATATTGTTTTTGTTAATTCTTGGAGAATATCACACAATGCGTTTTGATCGTATCCACCCTCCCTCCCCCACCTCCACCCTCTCCACCATCACCTCCTTACCCACCCGACTTGGAACTCTTCTCCCTTGCTGTCAAGTCCAGTGTGTGTTGCCCAGCTGCTCTTGGGAACACACCTGCCCTGGCGTGTGGTTGACCGACCAGGGCTTACATCATTCTTTAATGACATTTTCTTTTCTCCTTTCTTACTATTATTTTTCTGACTCTTTGTTGGTGTGTCTGATGTGTGTCTGCGTGTGTCTGCACATTCATGTGTGTGCACACATGGCACAGTGTGCATATGGAAATCACAGGGCCATCTTGGTGTTAGTTCTCCTACCTTGCTTGAGGCAGGGTCTTTTGGTGAGTTAGTTTTGGGAGCTTCTCCTGTCTCCCATTAGGAGCACTGGGATGATAGATATGCCTACCACAACTGGCTTTATGTGGGTTCTGGGGATTCAAACTCAGGCCCCATGCTTGTATGATAAAACCTTCACTCACTGAGCCGTCTCCTCAGCCAGATTTCTTTATACAGGGAAGTTTCCACCTCCCCCGAAATTTCTGTTAATAAAAATGCTTCTCCCCTTTCCATTCAGGCGCTGGACAGAGGCTGGAATAGAAGCAAGCCTGGACAGAACTGATGAAACTGGCATGGAGAAAACGTGGCACTATATCATGGCATCTCACTCTAGAGAAGCCAGAGTGTAGCTGGGTGATAAAGAATTTACAAGTCTCAGGCCCTGGGTTACAGCCTCAGCAAAAGCAATGCCCAGAAAGAAGAAGTGCACATCAAATCACTACAAAGTGAGTGAATAAAAACAGAACAGATCCCCCACAGGCTCAGCAGAGAGTGCTTACTTAGCACCACAAGGTCTTGTGTCTCTCCCCACCCCAGCACTGCAAAAAAAAAATATAAATAAAAAAGAACCACATCTGCCCAGTAGTCACAGTGCCTCCCTCAGTCCTGTACATCTGCATCCAAAATAAAGACCACGGTCTGCTGCGTAAAAACATCGTCTGCAAGGATCCCTCTAACCTGAAACGAGGATCCGTGTTCTGTGCAGCAAAACCATTTGACTGTACTTTTCGGAGACTATAGAGTATGGTACAGTATGCACACATGTGGTAATGTGTATGTAGAGAAATTGGAGGAGGGGGAGGGTCAAGCTGGGTGTGGTGGTACACACCTACAATTCCAGCACTTGAAGGCTGAGGCAGGAGGTTTGTTAGGAGTCTGAGGCTGGCCTGTGCTATGTAGCAAGTCTCTGCCTCAAAAGGAACAAACAATAACAACAACCCCACAAATATGGAGGTATATATATATTAAAACTATCTATAGTAGATAAGGATTTTAGTGTGGGCTGGAGATATGGCCTAGGTGTTAAGAGCACTGGCTGCTACTGCAGAAGACCCAAGTTCAGTTCCCAGGACCCTCACTGAGTGTCTCACAACTGCCTGTTAACTCCAGTTGCAGAGGATTTGACGTCCTCCTTGGGTGGCTGAATGTACATGTGCACATGGTGCACATACACTCACACATACATACACACACAACAATAAACAAGTAAAAAATCTTGAAAAATAATACACATGTGGTTGGAGACCCAGCTCAGTGGTGCAGTGGTTGCCCAGCATGTCTGAGGTCCCAGGTTCCATTCCCACGTCACAGACAGGAGAGAATGAGAGAAAGGGAGAGACAGATTCCAAGTAGCTCGGTTTCTGTTTTATTTCTGGAATTTTTGTCCAACTAGAAGGTTGGGTAGAGTCAACCTAAACCCTGTGAGCTGTCAGGTTGAGGTGGAATGTAGTTAAGTTAGAAGAGAACAGCACCCTGAAGGACAATGGGCGGATTAGACACACACAGCAGACGTGGCAGGAACCCACACTTTCTCTGGTTGCAGAGCCACTCACAACTGACTGTTACCTCCTCAGAAACTCCCCCAGTAAGGAATCAGCCAATGAGAACACGAAGTCCATGAGAAGGAGCCGGTAGATGTCCTGGCCAATGAGCGTCTCCCAGCACTGGAAGGCAGACAGGAGTCAGGGTCAGGCAGGGCTGGTGGCCCTGCTCAGCTCATGTGGGCACAGTTTGATCACACCCTGTGTACCCAGAAAAGCAGACTTAATCTGTAAAAACAGCCAGTGTGTGTGTGTGTGTGTGTGTGTGTGTGTGTGCTCTTGTGTGTGTGTGTGTGTGTGTGTGCTCTTGTGTGTGTATGTGTGTGTGGTGTGTGCTCGTGTGTATGTCTGTGTGTGTGTGTGTGGTGTGTGTGTGTGTGGTGTGTGCTCGTGTGTATGTGTGTGTGTGTGGTGTGTGCTCGTGTGTATGTGTGTGTGTGTGGTGTGTTTGTGTGTGTGTGTGTGTGTGTGTGGTGTGTGCTCGTGTGTATGTCTGTGTATGTGTGTGTGTGTGTGTGCATATTCTCTTTCTGCACTTCTCTTTCTACCCCATAAGGCTCACAGCTCACATGTACAAAAATTTCCCCATCTTATCACCGCTACTTCTAAGATATTTCATCTCTGCCCTGTCCCTTCTAGACCCCATTTCCCCACCAGGACTAAGCATTTTCCTCAGGAGACTAAGAAGCATGGAGGACTAACAACATTCCTCCTCTTTCTATTTATTGACTTCTACATTGTATAAATGTATGGAACTTACAAGTAATAAAAGTATTATTTTAAAAAGTGACTAGAGGTTTTTACAAGTTGGTGTAAGCTGGTGGACAGCGACCCCCACAGGAAGTCAGAGCCATGAGAGGACGTACTGGCAGCTTTCAGATCTGGCTGAAGAAGAAGGAAGGTTTCCGTATATAGCCCATGGACTCATGGATGGATAGATGAGTAGATACATGAGTACAAGAATGGATAGCTGGTAGATGCAGAGAGAAATAGGGGTAGATGGATGGGTGAATGGGAAGATGGGTGGATAAATGGGTGGATGGGAAAATGACTGGGTAAATGGATACATGGAAAGACACATGGATAGGTGGATAAGTGGATGGGTGAATGGGTGGATAGATGATAGTTGAATAAGTGAATGACTAGATTAAATGACTGGATGGATGGATACATAAATAAATGAATAGATGGACAGAAGAATAAATGGGTAGCTATAACATGATATGTTCTCTAATATCCTTACTTAGAAAGCTGGTTTGGGGCCAGGTGGTGGTGGTGCACGCCTTTGATCCCAGCACTCAGGAGGCAGAACCAGGTGAATCTCTGTGAGTTCAAAGCCAGCCTGGTCTACAGAACGAGATCCAGGACAGGCACCAAAACTACACAGAGAAACCCTGTCTCAAAAAAAACAAAAAACAAAAAAAAAAAGAAAGAAAGTTGGTTTTGAACATCTTTGATGATTAGGATTTGGTGAAGATACTGTGTTAAGACAAATAATTTGAGTCCAGACTTAGCAATGTTATTTTGGCCAGTATGGTCCCTCAGGGACCAGTGTGTCCTAGCACGGGAAGTGGAGTCAAAGAAATAAGGGATCTCTTACACTGTCACTGGACAAAAGGGGAGAAAGTGTATGATACAGAGGTTTTTTTGTCATGGGGAAACTAGTGGTAGAAGCAGAGATATTCCAAGGAGAGGGCCTTGGAACCAATGAGGTTATCTTTCTTTTGAGGCCTTATGGGGCACCACTGTCAGAGTGCAAGGACCAGAAACCCATGCTCTGAGGCAAGAGAAGGTGAAAAGCCATGGTGAGTGTGGGAGAGCCGGGGACAGTCAGGGTCAGGATGTGAGTGATAGCCAGATGAGCTACATGTCTGGGGATCAGCAGAGCCCATGGTGTCTGGGGTAGGACAAAATGGAACATCAAAGCTCAAGAAGGATCTGTGCTCAACCTCAGGCTATTTGAACAGATTAGCCTCAGAAATGCTGTCTATTGTATGCCCACCATAGGCTGGTCACAGTACTCACACTACCCCTGATACTGAATAGTGCCCATCTTACAGATACAAAGACTGAGGCTAAAGAGACTGAGTGATTTTGATTGGCATCTCAGCTTTTCCACGAAGACCTCCTGCTTTAAGCTGCTTCCCAGACCAGCTTCTTTCCTCTCCTCTTTCAAAAGGGAAGTATGACAGCTCTCAGGAAACTAAAGGCCAAGAAACAAACTCAAGGCAGAACATCACATAAATCTCACCTCTTCACCAGACAGGGCCACGATGTTGAGCCAGTAGTAACAAAGAATTCCAACGATGGAGATCTTCAGAAGGATGTTTCTAAATAACAGAAGGGGAAATGGCTCTGGTCACGCTCATTGGCAGACTTCTGTGCTGTTGGTCAGTGTTCCCTGTAGGCATGCAGTAGGACAGACATCTCTGCCTGCCCTCCGAGCCTGGATATGCCCATAAGACAAGTTCTAGCAGGTGAACTATGAGCAGAAACGCCATGTGTCCGTTCTAGCCGTGAGCACTGCACATCACTCTGAGACCCTCCAGAACCCACTGCCCTTCTTTACAAGGGCAGTCAGCACTGTCTCAGATGTGCGTTGATGCCTCAGCCTGGGTTCCTTGGGGACTAGCATGCACACAACCTTCTCTCCAGTCCACAATGTACGTGTAACACTACCAAGAAGTAAATTTTTGTGTCTCATGCCACTGAGATTGGGGAGGCTTGCTACTGCAGCAAAAATTTAATCCATTCTGACTAATACACTCTCTTCTGTTGACCCTGCAAATGAACCAGTTTCTCTCCCATTAAAGCCCACTAGAGTAATAAGAAATGTGCTTAATATTTATTTATTGAATGCCCACCCAAGATGCTGTACTGAGTCGCTAGTTAAATCATCTCAACCCGTATAATTCTACCACAGGTGGTATGTTACACTCATCTTTCCCAAACTTCAAGTGTGACAGCAATCCCTCATATTTACCTCTCTATGCATACCTAATGCATTAGTTAATTTTCTCATTGCTGTGACCTGTTAAGAAGTGAGTTAAAGAGGCTTTTGTTTGTTTTGTTGGCTCACAGTTTGAGGATGAAGCCTATCCTGTAAGAGCAGACATGGCAATAGAAACATGAGCAGTTGGTCACATTTCATACACAGGAAACAAAGAGAGATGGATCTGGTGCTCAGCTTTTTTTTTTTTTTTTTTTGCTTTTCATTCAGCCTGGATCCTGGCCCACAGGACCCGGTGCTGTCCACAGCTAGAGTGGGTCTTCCCACTTCAACTCACCCAGTCTGGAAACTCCCAGACTTGCCTGGAGATTTGTCTGCTAAATAATTAGAGAGCCTATTGAGTTGACAATCAATATCAGCCATCACACCTAAGAAAGTGGAAGCCTGGCCCAGTGGGTGGATTGGGAGGAATGATGATGGCACGAGAATCATCTATGGTTAGAATTTTTCATAGCATAAATTGAAAATAATCAACTCACTGATTTATTGATCCATTCACTCACTAATTATTCTTGAGCATCTGGAATGTCCCAGGCACTGTGAGCAAGAAAACAATTTCCCCTTACTCGTGTGTGTGTGTGTGTGTGTGTGTGTGTGTGTGTGTGTGTGTGTGTGTGTGTATGCTGGGGGAGATAATAACTAAAATGCTAAGAAGTGGAAGGAAATTATAATGTAAGGAATAAGAGTGTGAGGGAAGACACTGAGAAAGGACAACACTTAAGAGAAGCTGAAATGAAGTCAGGAAACAAGCCCCAGGGCCATATGTAGGAAGAGACTTTCAGGCAAAGAGAGCAGCCAGAGCAGAGGCAGGTATGGAGTTAGACATGTCTGAGAACACTTGGGAGCCCAGTAAGGAGCATAATGAGGAGAAAGACAGAACATAGGCTGGCCCATGGACCTTGGGTCAGATTTCCAAGGCCACAGAGAGGAGGGACTCCGGAGGTGATCTGTGAGGACACTATGAATTGTGCAGATCCATGGTCAGAGCCAGGAGTCAGCAAGAGAATCAGCCAGGAAGAGGCTGCAAGGACAGAAACTGGGTAGCTTTGGTTTTTGTGTATTAAACTTTGGCTGCATCTCTTGTACATAGAAAGGGGTGTCAACTTTGAGCCAAGGAGTCACTAAGAACATCCTCCTTTCTGTTTGTGTGGATGAATTTAAAAAATATGCCTTCTCCTCCTGCATGAGGCAGTGGGTACCAGGGCTCCTTAGTCAGGAACCCTTGCACAATACTTGTCCATCTGTGCAGTGACACTTGAGAATTAGGTTAATTCTCAGGCCAGCAGCCATCGAAAAGGTAAGCCACCATCTAGTAAAAAAGCATCCATACTCAATAATCACATTTTCCAGGGTTCTTTGAAGGCTGTTGTGCTGGATAGTTTTACGTCAATGTGACACAAGCTAACGTCATCTGATATTAGGGAACCTCAATTAAGAAAATGCCTCTCTAGGACTGGGCTGCAGGCAAGCCTGTAGGACATTTTCTTAATTCATGGTTGATGGGGGAGCACAGCCCATTGTAGGTGGGGCCACCCCTGGGCTGTTGGTCCTGGATTCTATAAGAAAGCAGGCTGAGCAAGCCATGGGGAGCAAGCCAGTAAGTAGCACCCCTCCATGGCCTCTGCATCAGCTCCTGCCTCCAGGTCCCTGCCTCAGTTGAGTTCCTGTCTTGACTTCCTTCAGTGATGAACAGCCATGTGGAAGTGTACATCTTTCCTCCCCAACTTGCTTTTGACCAGGGTGTTTCATCACAGCAATAAAAACTCTAACTAAGACAACTGTTAACCCATCACATGAGACTTCATTCCTGGAATGCCTTCCTTCAGGAACATTCGACACTTGAATGGAACTCCTTCCAGCTCCTGGAAATGAGCTATAATCAGGTGTAACACACCTACCGGATCAGGAGGACGTAGACTTCCTGTCTTGGTACCTCGTACCTCTCCACCAGGCGGAACATGGAGTAGAAGCGAGGCACAGCCAGGTTGATGCAGGACACGACAAACGGTAATAACAGCACCGCCCCAGGGTTCCTGTGCGTCTTCAAGAACTGCAGGGTTGGAGGATAAGCCTTAGAGGTCTGTGGAGCTGTGGACCCTCTCCACACAATCAGAGGGTCTGAAGTAGAGAACCCCACACACAGTTCCTATGAGGCATACTGAATCTCAGAGAGGTAAATCCGTCTTCCCAAGGTCACCCAGCAAGGAAGCATTCAATCAGATCAGCGCCAGTTAGTTTTTCTTGTCAGCTTGATACTACCAAGAGTCAAGTGCTAAGGGGGAACCTCAACTGAGGAACCGCCTAGATCGGAATGACCTGTGGTTATACATATGGGGCACTGTCTTGACTGGTAATTGATGCAGAAGGGCCAAGCTCACGGTAGGCAGCACCAGCCCTAGACAGGTGTTCCTGGGCTGTCTAAGAAGCTAGCTGATCATGAGCCTTGAGGAAGCCAGCAAACACTGTTTACCCATGCCCTGCCTCCAGCTTCCTGCTTGAGTTCCTGGCCTGACTCCCCCCAAGTGATGGACCGTGACCTGGAAGTATAAGCCAAATAAGCCTTTTCCTCTCCAGGTTGGTTTTGGTCAGAATATTTTATCACAGCAACAAAGTGGAAATAGTCGGTGACCGGAACTCAAACAGCTCTGCTGGGACTTGGCTCTCCTTACCAAGATGCCTTGGGCTAGGAAATGGAGTTCTCTTGTTGTGGAAACAAAGTCTATTTTAGCCATGGTGCAAGGGAACTAAACACCATGGGATTTCTCCTGCGACTCTATTATTATTATTTCATCATCATCATCATCATCATCATCATCATCATCATCATCATTGGGGGGGTGAGACAACGTCTTCTTATGTAGCCTTGGCTATCCTTGGAACTCATTATGTAGATCAAGCTGGGTTCAAACTCACAGAAATCCGTCTGACTCTGCCTCCCGAGTGCTAGGATTAAAGGCCATGTGCTACCATGCCTGGCCCCCATTTTTTATTTATTTTTTGAAACTAAAATATAGCTACAGTATTTTCTCTCTTCCCTTTCCTCTTTCTCACTCCTCTCCTGTGTATACCCCACCCTGCTCTCTTTCAAATTCATGGCCTTTTTAAAATTGCTGTTCTACATATATATTATATTCATGTTCCATTCTCCTTCTCCTGGGGCACAACCCTACCTGTATCCACTCCTAGAGGCCTTGAAAGCACCTGTGACCTCTTGGTATACCTTTTGGAACCCTCATATCGTGGCGTGCGTAGGATGTAAAGTTACAGGCCTGTGTGTTTAAATACTTGGTCCCCAGCTGGTAGCACAGTTTTGGAAGGCTGTGAAACATTGGGGCAGAAAGCATGGCTGCAGAAAATGTATCACAGGGGGCCAGCTTTTGAAGGGCAAAGCCTAGTCTCTGGTGCCTCCCATATGCTCTGCTTCTTAACCCATCAAGACGGTTCACCCACTCAGATCTATGCTAGCCATGCCCAGCCACCACGTCTTCCCCTGAAATTGTGAGCCAAGGTAACTCCTTCCCCCCTGGCACTGTCTCTGTCACAACTCTGAGGAAATTAACCAACATGTCTGGGTCCTAATGCTGCCTCTCTGCCCCATACTGAGCAGCTGAGGGGAAACCTGGGTGACAGGCGTCTCTGAGCCAGGGGAGCATCCCTCAAGCCACAGGGACTAACTAGAATCCAGTGAGATGAAATAAGGCCAAGGCCAGTCACGGAAGCTGTGCTTACCAGTGATTGACAGCCACTGGGGTTATGCCAATCGTAGATCCTGCTCAGCCCAGCGAAGGTGCCTGGGCCAGGGGATGGTTCTGAGATGTCTGTGCCTCAGTAGGCAAATGCAGGAGGCAAAGCCTCTCTACCTGCAAATGCCCAACCACAGCTTACACCCCATGTGGTCAATGGCAGGCCCCTAAAGACTGATTCAGTTCTCCTCTTTAAAGTCAGACTTTACTACGGCCAACGCAACCCTTCAAGTGTGTGTGATCCCACACTCATTGTTTGTAGACCAGAGGTGGAACCCAGGGGCCAGAAAAGATTAAGCCACGCAGGGGAGTTACTGAGCATCTACTCTGTCAAGGTGTTGTGGGGGCCTGGGGACAGAATAACGAAGAATGATAAGTGTCTATAATCTCATCACTTGGGAGACTGAAGCAGGAAGATCAGGAGTTCCAGGCTAGCCTCCGTTGTAAAACAAGACTTTGTTTCAAAAAACAAAACAAACAAAAAAAAACAGAATGAAAAAACAGCAGAAATGAGAATCTGATCCCAGTTCTCTGCCAACGTCCCATCTCCACAGGAGCCCAGTGCCCCTTTCCCTGTGATGTCACGACACCACCAGGAACTCCGTCCGACCTGTGGGTCTGAGTCTGTGGTCATGGGAAAATAGGCGGTTCTGCAGTTTGAAGCAAGCCTCTGTGGGTAGGGCTGCTGCTGGCCATGGGGCCCAGCTGGAGGCCTCAGCTCTGCATCTTCCGCAGCAGCATCCCACTCCTCCCGGGCTCTTTCTGCTCCCGCCCTAAGGGTTACCTCAGAGTTATACTCAGCCAAGTAGTACACAGCGGCACAGCAGGCTGCAGCCACTCCAGTAGAGACCAGCCAGGCGGCTATGTGAGCAGAAAAGCGGGTCAGCTGCTGGTGGAGCGTGAGTCTGTCGTTCTCCTGGCGGATCTCAGACAGGTTCTCCTGCAAGTGCCAGACAGTCAAGTGGACCCACTGGCCCTTCCCCACCTCAGCAGAGATCCCCAGGATCATAGGGCCAGCCTAGACCACACAGGAGCTAGAGGGTAAGTCTGTGACCAAGGTGGATCATGGGAGACCAAGGGGAATCTCAGGACAGCAGAGAAGCTTCAAACTGCATTTCCATCTTAGGGGACCAGAGAGATGCAGTAGCCTAGGGTCACAATGTGTTTTTTATTTTGCTTCCCCATCTGCTCTTTCTTTCTCTTTTCTTCTTTCTTTCCTTCCCCTTACTCCCTCCCTCCCTCCATTCTCCCTCCCTCAGTCACTCCCTTCCTGCCTTCCTTCTCTTTGATCTTTGCATTTTGGAAAACAAAGGTCTTACTATATAGCTTAGCCTACCCTTAAACACAGAACCCTCCAGTCGCTGCCGCCCCAGGATGGCAGGTGTACACCACCCCAAAACACTCAACAGGAGCCTTTTCTTGATGACCAAGGGCAAGTACCACATGGAGGAAGAAGTGAAAGCTGTCGTCAAAGCCCTCTTATTGGTATTGATTACTACTCTCTCTCTTCTCTCTCTCTCTCTCTCTCTCTCTCTCTCTCTCTCTCTCTCTCTCTCTCTCTCTCTCTGTGTGTGTGTGTGTGTGTGTGTGTGTTTCTTTTTTGAGACAGGTTTTCACTCTGTAGCCCTGGCTGTCCTAGAACTCACTCTGTAGACCAGGCTGGCCTCGAACTCACAGAGATCCACCTGCCTCTGCCTCCCGAATGCTGGAATCAAAGGTGTGTGCCACCACCGCCCACCTGAAATCCTATCTCAAAAGGAAAGAGAAAGAGAAATGGGAAAGGGAAGGAAAGGGGCCGGGGGGGGGGGGGGGGGCAGGGAGAGTGTAGAGAGGAAAAAGCCATAGAAACACAGGGATGCGAGAAGGCTGGTGGGGAGGACTCTGGATCTGGGCCTTACCCTGATCTCAGTGCTCAGATTCTTCTGTTTTAGCTTCACAGCTTTGTCATGGGTGACAGTGAAGTCCCAGCAGAAGACAAGCTTAGCGATCCCCCTGGAGTATATATGGGGGTTGATGAAGTTGTTCCGGAAGTACTTGGCCATGCTGGGGAAGGCAGAAACCAAAACGTCCAAGCATTATTATGAAGGTGTTGAGGCATACAGGGACCAGGCATGTTTCTTACTGATAATAAAAAGCAACATGGACAATCCAAACTCTTCCCACAGAGAAGGGGAATTACCAGCACAATGTTCTATAAGTGACAGGAACAGACAGGCGTGGCTTGTAAGTTTGCATTCTGCCAATAGCGAGATCTTTGCCCCATTAAGTATTCTGAGCCTCAATTTTCACATCTGTATAACAGGGATAACAATAGTACCCACCTCACAGAGATATTATGAGAGTACCATCCATGTTGCCTCAATAAAAGATCAGCAAGCTATGGCTTAATCCATCACAGGGTTATCTCACATTTCTGGGGTCAGAAGTTAAGAGGGGGCTGGAGTCATGGCCCAGTCAGTAAAATGTTTGCTGTGCGAACATGAGGACCTGAGTCTGGATCCCCAGAGCCAATGTAAAAACGCCCAGTGTGCTAGCACATGCTCAAAGTCCCGCTCTAAGGAGCCAGAGGCAGGACCATCCCTGAACCTCACTGGCCCATCAGCCTAGTTAATCAGTGAGCCCAGGGTGGTGGAAACCCTGTCTCAAAGAGACAGACAGCATCAAAGAAGAGACCCAAGGTGTCCTCTGGTTCACACACACACACACACACACACACACACACACACACACACACACACACACAGAGTCAGGAAATGGATGTTGCAGGCCTGATGGGAAGATGTCACAGGCTGGCCTCCTTCCGAAGGGTCTAGAACTAACCCCATTCTCTCGCCTTCTCCAGCTTCCAGAGGCTTCCCTCCATTCTAGACTTGCAGCCCCTCCTCCATGTTCAAGACCAGAAAATAACATGTTCCTTCCCTCCCTCCTACCTGTCCCCTCCCTCCCACCTCTGCCCTCCCTCCACCCTCTCCCCTCCCTCCACCCTCTCCCCTCCTTCCTCCCTCTCCCTTCTCCCCTCCCTCTGACCTCTCTCTTTCCTCTGACCTCTGCCCTCCCTCTGCCCTCTGCCCTCCCTCTGACCTCTGTCCTCCCTCCGACCTCTCAGGCTCCCTGTGATTTTATTGGACCCACTTGACAATCCAAGACACCCCTCCCTACTTTTAAGATCCTTACTCACATTTGTAGGGCCCATGTGTTGTATTGTTTTGGAGACAGGGTATCTCCTTGTAGCCCAAGCTAGCCTGGAACTCACTATGTGGATCAGGCCAGTCTCAAACTTGTAAAGGTCTTTTTGCAGAATTACAGGTGTCCACCCCCCTGGCCAGAGTCCCTTTCGCATTGTGTGATGGTTAATCTTTGTCAACTCGATTAGACTAAGAGATGCCCATATTACTAAATCACACTCGGGGTGTCATGAGGTTGTCTCCAGAGATGATCATCAAAGGGGAAAGGGTCACCATGAAAGTGGGAACACGGTAGGGACCCAGATGAGACAAAAGTGAAGGAGGAGGCTGGCCAGTGCAGAGATGCTCTCTGCTAGGTTGTCAGGAAGGCTACTGAGAGGTAAGCAGCTTTGCTCCTCCAACTAGCCTGCCTCACCCTGGCCCAGGGACTGTGGGTCCAAGTGACCATGGACTGAGTTGTATGTGGCAATAATTTTGTCACAGTGATGGAGATGAATACACCTCACAAAATGATATGTTCATGGGTGCTACGAGTTGGAAATGGGAATCCTGGGGAGACATTACTCAGAAAGCCACAAGAGTCATGGCAGGAGGCATTCATTAGCTTCTGTTGTGAGATAATGGGTGTCTCAGACCAGGATTCCCTTGGCACCCAGCTGGACATGTTGTCCATGCAGAGTGAAACCAGTACTGCCCTCCCACAATGTATCGCCACTGAGTGACAGCTGAAAGAACATGTTCTAGTTTGATAAGTTTCAATGAAATCCCACTTTTCTTTGAACAGTGATGCTGGCAGGGAGGTTATATGAGCTAAATTATGAATTCCCCAAATTCAGATGTGAAAGTTGTAAGCCCTGGTAACATCAGTATACGACTGTATTAGGAGACAAGGTCTTTAAAAAAGTGACAACTAAAATAATGAGACCTCAGGGTGGGACCTAATAAAGATGCTGCCATTCTCATTAGAAGAAATTAGGCCTGGGATGCAGCTCCCCTCCAGAATTTCAAAAGAAAATGAGAGGAGGAAGAGGAAGAGGAAGATCAGGAAGAGGAGGAGGAAGAGAAGAGATAGGAGGAAGAAAGAGGGTGGAGAGGAGAGGTGAGGAGAGCCAGACAGACACAGTGGAAGACAACATGACGAGAGTGACTGTCCTGGTCAGCTTCCCGCCATGCTAACACACACCTAAGACCATCAGCTCATAAAGAGAGAAGCCATGGGTTTAGAGGCTTCCCATCATGGTAACACATACCTAAGAGTATCAACTTGAAAGAGAGAAGTCATGGGTTTAGAGGCTTCCCATCATGGTAACACATACCTAAGAGTATCAACTTGAAAGAGAGAAGTCATGGGTTTAGAGGCTTCCCATCATGGTAACGCATACCTAAGAGTATCAACTTGAAAGAGAGAAGTCATGGATTGAGAGGCTTCCCATCATGGTAACACATACCTAAGAGTATCAACTTGAAAGAGAGAAGTCATGGATTGAGAGGCTTCCCATCATGGTAACACATACCTAAGAGTATCAACTTGAAAGAGAGAAGTCATGGATTTAGAGGCTTCCCGCCATGCTAACACATACCTAAGACCATCAGCTCGTAAAGAGAGAAACCATGGGTTTAGAGGCTTCCCATCAAGGTAACACATACCTGAATATCAGCTCATAAAGAGAGAAGCCATGGGTTTAGAGGCTTCCCATCATGGGAACACATACCTAAGAGTATCAGCTCATAAAGAGAGAAGCCATGGGTTTAGAGGCTTCTGGAAAAGTCTAGTTGGCCGTGCTGCTCTGGACCCATAACAATGCATCATGACGGGCAGAGGGGCACTGAACAAATCTGCTCAGCTCATGGCCATGAAGTGGGAAAGCAGGAGCAGAAGGGGTCAGGGCCCCACGATGCCCTTTGAGTGCAGGCCCTCAGAGATCTCCCACCTCTCATATCCTAGAGCCATACTATAGCAATGGCTTTCTATAAGCCAAGGAGACTGTCTTAGCTATCCATGCCAGGGTCCTCTGCAAATGAATAAGAGGCTGACACACCCCTGTGCTCACTTCCCATCTGGACCTCCTCGCCAGTCGTCCCTCCACCTTGTCTAGCCTGTCGAACTGCTCAGCTACTGAGTCTGTTTTCAGACTGACCACTCAGTTTCCCTAAAGTCCTGTGAACACCTCTCTTCTTCCATCCGCCCACATTCTACACTGCAGGACAAGGAGTGTAGGACAGCGTGGCAGAGAAGCTGCCTTCTGCGTTAACATTGTTTCCTTAGAGACAAGGTCTTACTACATAGCCCAGCCTGGCCTTGAACTCAAAATCCTCCTTCCCCACCATCCCAAGTGCTAGGGTGGCAGGTGTGCACCATCACACCCCAGCTTCTTGGGTTACGGCTTGAGTTCCTTGGAGTTTGTCTAAGATAAGCCTTAGAGGCTGGGGAGATAGTTCAGTTGGCAAAGTATCTGCCATCCAAGAATAAGGACAAGTTTGATGACTAGAACCCATGTAAAAAGTAACCTGGGTATGGTGCTGCACACTTTTAATCCTGGCACTGGGGAAGCAGGGACAGATGGGTCCCTGGAGCTCATTAGCCAGTCAGCCAAGTCTACTTGGCAAGTTCCAAGCCAGAGAGAGACCTTGCTTAAAAACAAACAAACAAACAAACAAACAAACAAATAAATAAATAAATAAATAAATAAATAAATAAATAAATAAAAGACAAGGTAGACACTGCTTGAGGAATGATACCCAAACTTGTCTTCTGACCCCACAAACGTGTACACAAGTGCACATACAACTGCACACATGCAAATAAAATAAGCCTTAGAGTCCGGTCAGAATCTGTACCTGAAGAGCAGACTGAAGAAGCAGATGACCAGGCAGGCTCCGATTGTGAAGATGTAGGCCAGCTGCATGTTGTAAGATGGTCCGCCCGTCCCATGCCGAATTGTGGAATTGGTGTAAAACCCATAGTACATCACTGTGTCCCTAAAATAACCCTGACGGGAACAGCAAAGAGATCCAAGTTAAAGAGCTTGCTTAAGAAGGGTGAATGGCTATGTATTCCAGGTCCCTGTCTGCAGTTCTTTAGACATTCATGGTCACTTCTTGGCATCCAAGGAGATCAGCCCTGGGGCCACTGAAGATGCCACCAATAGCAGGTGCTCAGCTGGCCTAGTGTTCACACAGGACATGTGCTCACCCTCCCATGTCCTAAATCATCTTGAGATGACATGCCTAATACAACATGAATGTTCTCTAGATAGGTGTTACAGTCTGTAGATTAGAGAATAAAGACAAGGATCATGACTGTTTACATGCTTATAGACACAATTCTTTATCATGTTTGTGAATGTGTACATATAAGCACTCATAAGTGAGTGTGTGAGTGTGTGTGTGTGTGTGTGTGTGTGTGTGTGTGTGTGTGTGTGTGCATGAGTGTGCTGGTGAGAAATGAGTGTTCTGATCTATGATTCTCACTTTATGCCCTTAAGACAGGGTCTCCCACTGAACTTAGAGATTGCTATTTGGAGGCCACGCTGGCTGTCCAATAACCCTCCTGTCTCTGCCCACCTCAGTGCTCATATTACAGGTGCACACAGTCACGCCTGGCTTTGTATGTAGTTGCTGGGGATCCTAACTCTGACCTGCATGTTTGTGTAGCAAGGGTTCTTATCCTGAGTCACCTCGGGATAAAACATAGTATGCACCTGTGGTTGATTGAATCAGAGTTTAGAACCCGTGGGTGTAGAAGGGGAGTTGTAGTTTGCTGAGAAAAGGACCTAGGTGTTTTAGAAATAAGCTCCGAGAGTTGGAGAGAGCTTCAAATCAACCCGATTTTGCAGCTGAGGAACCCACTGTGAGCACCTGAACTTGGAGATCAAGCCAAGCATCCTGAAAGCCAGAGAGTCAGACATGTTCAGCCTCTGCTATGTACTCAGTTCCTAGCATCCGCACTGGGCAGCTCATGAACACCTATGACTCCAGCTCCAGGGGACCTGAAGCTCTTTTCTGACCTCTACAGGTACCCACACACACGTGAACACACACTCACACAGATGGCACACACACTCACACACACACACACACACACACATATAAACACAAATATAAATACTAAAAATTTTAAGGGATACACCCCAGCTTGGAGAATTAAACAAAAGAAGAAAGAGAAAATGGACTTTCCTTCATTTTCTTCCGTAGTAGGGATTTTCCGGAGGACTGATTATATTTTGTAGGAAAAAAAAAAAAGACAGAGAAAAAACAGATTTCTAACCTGAGGTGTCCACTGAGTAATGCTAAGGGAAAGAAAACAAACAGTAGGCAGCCTGTGAGGATACTCATCTTTCATAAGAAACAAAAGGATGATTTGTTCATGCATAGATGGTTCAAGCATGCAAAGAACTGGGGTGTGGCTAAAACAGCTCCACAGCACTGGCTCCTGACCCCTGAAATGTCAGGCACTTAATACCTGAGGAAGAACCAGCCATTTCTCCATCAGGCAGAATGAGAGGTCTGAGTAAGTGTGAGGCATTCCCTGGTGAACTTTTGCAGAGGATGGAGAACTTACCGCCCCCGTGAAAAACTCCAACCCAGTGAACTGGAGGGTGTTCCTCTCGGCCACGGTGAATTGCGGGATGATGACAAAGCTGAAGTTCATGACAAAGGAGAAGATGTTGAACCTCAAAAGCCACCTCAGGAAGCTGAAATAGGACAGGACACTGGTTCCGAACTTGCCTCCGATGACCTTGAATGTCTTCTGCCACAAGCTGACGTAATTGAGGAGCTCTGAAAGGTTGCTCTTGGTTCTGCGGGAAGCCTGGAGTGCGGAGGCAAAGAGGAGCCTTGATTCTCAGCAAGTGGCTGCTGAGTGGGCGTTATAATAGCCGAACAGCCCTGCTCCAAAAGCCCTGTTCTCAGCCAGGCAGCTTTGAGGTGCATTTACAAAGGTGACTTTGTGCATGGTCACAACAACCCTCTCATGTACCCCTACTATCTACCACCTTCCCAGGTTGTGCTTCCAATGGCCAAACTGGCCATTAGCATCCTACCTTCCTGTGCCCACCTTTTTACTCCCACACCTGTGCTGGCCTGTACAGTCTGAATGTTGGCTCCTCTTCCCTCCATCCTCTTCCACTCCTGACCCTTGACCTCACTGGTGTCACTGTCTTGCTGAGCTCTCCTTCCCTCCATCCCCTCCCACTCCTGACCCTTGGAACTGGCTGCTGTCACTGTCTTGCTGAGCTCATCCCATTTACAACGAGATACAAATCAGTTTACCCATACAGATGAGCCCCAGAACAGAAAAATAAAAAAATAATCACCAAATGATACAGCCATCCCCTTCCAGGTATGTGTACTGGTTAGTTTTTGTCAAACTGACACAAACCTAGATGTATCTAGGAAGTGGGGTCCTCAGTTGAGGAACTGCCTCCATTAGATTGCCTATAGGCAAATCTGTAAGGGCATTTTCCTGAGTGACTGAAGTGGGGAGGCAGCTCACTGTAGGCTGGGTCACTCCTGAGCAGGTGGTCCTGAGTGGTATAGGAAAGCAGGCTGAGCAATCTATGAGGAATAAACTAATAAGCAGCACTCCTCCATGGCCTCTGCTTCAGTTCCTGCCTCCAGGTTCCTGCCTTGAGTTCCTGCCCTGAAGTCCCTTCACCATGGACTGTGATCTCAAAAGTATAAGTCAAATAAACTCTTCCTCCCCAGGTTGATTTTGGTTATGGAGCTTTATCATAACAATAACAACAGAAATAAACCAGCACAGTATATAATGAAAAGAAATGAAATCAGCATACCAGTGAAGATCCTGTAGCACCATAGCTAAGATCCAGAATTGATCTAGCAGTCCTCAGTGCATGGACAGGTAAAGACAATACCATATATATATATATTCACACACACTATTATCCAATATCAGCTACAAAGAGTGAAATCTTATCATTTGCTGAAATGTGGATAGAACTAGAGGACATTGTGAGAATGAAATAATACAGATACAGAAAAACAAATACTGTGTGTTCCCTCTTATGTGGGGAAGAACGTGGAGTAGTAATTATTAGAGGCTTGGAAGAATTGAGGGGAGGAAGGATAGAGAGGGACTGGGATAAAGAAGGAAGGAGTGCTGGTATTTCATGGTGCGACGACTGTAGCTCACAATAGCCTGGTATGTGTTTTATAAGGATCTAGAAGAGAGGACATCATGGGCCGTGGGGAGTAGAGTGTGTGCTTAGCATGTACAGCCTTGGGTTCAATCCCCCACAACTGAGAAGAAAGGACAGGGGGCAGAATGAGGGAAGAAAGGAAGCATGGAAGGCAGGCAAGAAGGAAAAAGGAAGCATGGAAGGCAGGCAAGAAGGAAGAGGTGAGGAAGGAAAACGTGGGATGCTTTCCTCTGGGTGTGATGTGGCCATTGCCCTCTTAAACTCTCTCAGTCCCGTGAGTACTCAAAGGAGATCTGTGCGAAATTGGAGCCATTTACTTTCCACGGTGGATGGGAGCAAGGACTCAAGAAGCCTGGCTCCTTCCATTGGATTTGTAGGCAGTTAACAGCTGCTGGGGGAGGGGCTCACACACAAGGCAGTGAAGGGTTGCTGAGGAGAGAGACAACTTCAGTGGTGTAGCAGCCTGCAAGTTGCCCATGCCCTGCAGGTAATTCTATGAACTGACTTGCTGCGGGATAATGCTCTGATATACTATAAAGATTTGTCACTCTAATTGGTTTAATAAAACACTGACTGGCCAGTAGCCAGGCAGGAAGTATAGGCAGGGTGACCGGACTAGGAGAATTCTGGGAAGAGGAAGGGTGGAGTCAGGAGTCACCAGCCAGACACAGAGGAAGCCAGATGAAAATGCTGCACTGAGAAAAGGTATCAAACCATGTGGCTAAACATAGATAAGAATTATGGGTTAATTTAAATGTAAGAGCTAGTCATTAGTAAGCCTGAGCTACCAGCTGAGCATTTATAAGTAATATTAAGCCTCAGAGTCAATTATGTGGGAAGTGGCTGCGGGGTACTTGGGAGTTGCTGGCAGTACAGAAACTTGCGCTAACACTGACTGGTTCGCCGAGCTAGTTGGTTCCTTGTCTGTAGTGAACAGAAGTTTGCTGTCTCCCTAGAAAAAGTTCACATGATAGAAGTACAGCAAAGGAAAATGCTAATTAACCAGACTTGAGCCACGCAGGCTGTGCGGTGGTTTGAACGAAAATGGCTCCCTAAAGCCTGCATGGGACTGACCTAGACCCTCCACATGTATGTGACAGCTGTGTAGCTTGCTCTTCTTGTGGATCTCCTAACACTAGGAGCAGGGGCTGGCTCTGCCTCTTTTGCTGGCCTTTGGGACCCTATTCCTCATACTGGGTTGCCGTGTCCAGCCTTAATACAAGGGGAGGTGCTTAGTCTTACTGCAACTTGATATGCCGTGTGTTGTTGATACTCACGGGAGGCCTGCCCTTTTCTGAATAGAAACAGAGTAGGAGTGGATGGAGGAGGGCAGAGAGGAAGTAAGGGAGAGGAGACTGGGAGGAGAGGATAGAGGATAATCTGTGAGATGTAAAATAAATAAATACATTTAAAATAATAATAAAAAGGGAATAGTAGGCAATTTTTTTAAAAAAAAGAGGAAAAAAAGGCTCCCCTAGGCTTGTTGGGAGTGGCACTATCAGGAGGTGTGGCCTTGCTGGAGTAGATGCGGCCTTGTTAGAGGAACTGTGTCACTAGGGGGTGGGCTTTGATGTTTCAGATGCTCAAGCCAGGCCCAGTGTCTCTCTCTCTCTTTCTGCTGCCTGCTGATCTGGATGTAGAACTCTCATTTCCTTTTCCAACACCATGTCTGCCTACATGCCGCCATGCTTCCCACCATGATGACAATGGACTAAAACTTTAAGCCAGCCCCAATTAAATGCTTTTCTTTATCAGAGTTGCCATGGTCATGGTGTCTCTTCACAGCAATAGAAACCCTAAAACAGGTTGTGTGTATGTGCAGAAATAGCCCATGTTACAGCAGTAACATGCAAATTATGTTAATGAAAAAAACCATTTGTCTAAGATCAGGTTTCACTATGTGGCCCCGGATGACCTGGAACTCACTCTGAAGACCAGGCTGGCCTTCAAGCTCGCAGAGACCTACCTGCCTCTGCTTTCCAAGTGTGGGAATAAAGGTGTGAAAAAAATGTTTTTAAAAGTTGACTTACCAGCGAAAGGGAGTTCAGACACTGAGCACAGCAGTTGGCCTCTAGGGCGCCCTGGCGCTGTTTACTCTTTTCTTTGTCGACTATTTTTCTGTGGAAAACGGTAGGAGAAAATAAAGGACGTCAATATTGTCATTCATTTCCACAAAATAAACCAGCCACTGCTGGGCACCAAGGCCCCTGCTTGTAGTTCCAGACTCTCAGGGGCCAAAGCAGAATCAGTTAATCCTGGCTCTCCAGGGCTCCAGTGCGGGAATTACACAGCGGTCACTGTGTCAGCTTTTACGTGGGTTCTGGTGATCTAAGTTCAGTCGCCATGCTTGCATGGTGATCATTTTCCAACTGTTCCTTTTTCATTTGGTTGGTTGGTTTCTGTTGTGTGCTCGCTTAGCAATTTTTAAATTTAGAGTGGTTTGAAATTTATAGTAAGTCTTTAGGCTATGTAGAGTGTTCCCACAGGCCTCTCCCAGGTTGCCCTGTCAGCTCCCAACTTTCCATGGTAGGTGTGTTGGCTTGAATGAGATGTTCCCCAGAGGCTGGGGGGCATTTGAACATTTGGTTCCCAGTTAGCACTACGCTTTGGGAAGTGTGACCTTGCTGAACGAAGAACATCACTGTGGGTGGGCTCTGAGGTTTCAAAGTCTCAGGCCATTCTCAGTTTGCTGTCTCAGCTTTCTTGTGGTTCAAGATGTGAGCTGTCAGCTACCGCTCCAGCCACCATGCCTTCCATCTGCCATCATGACCCTTACCCTCTAGACTCACAATCCCAAATAAACTCTTCTGTGAGTAGCCTAGTCATGGTGTTTCATCACAACCATAGAAAGGTAATTAATACAGTAGGTTTGTCAAAACGAAGCCAGCACATGTGTGTTCTGATACCTAAATCCAGACGTCTGCTTTGGGGTTTCCCAGTTTCTCCTCCCCGCCTGCCCAGGCCCCACACATTGCATTTGCTGTCCTGTCTCTTTAGAATCCTCTCCTCTGTGTCAGGTTCTCAGACTTTCCTTGCCTTTAGTGACATGAAGACATTTGAGTCAGAGATTTCAGAGGGTTTGCCTGATGCATCTCTCTGGTTACCCTAGGGTCTGGGCTTTAAGAGGCGACTGCCCTTTTCAGAACATGCCTTATCTTTTAGGGAAGCTAACTTAAGCAAGTACCTGGCCCAGGCAGTGGTAACTATAACTCACTGGAGACTTGCTTTTCTCCAGAGAATCCTCTTTGGAAGTAGTCATGGACCACAGTGCACACGCTCTCTAGGGAGACAGGTCAAGACCCAGGCTTTAGGAAGCGGTGCATGGCTAGGCATGTGTCTATTAATCCTAGCGCTCATGAAGTAGGGGCAGGAGGATCAGAAGTTCAGGACAATCTTTGGTTATATAGCACATTCAAGGCCAGTCTGGGCCATAGAGCCTATACCAATAAAATGCAAAAACCTGGGTGTGATACACACCTTTATTTCTGCACATTGAAGGCTGTTGCAGGAGGATCCTGAATTTGAGGCCAGATAATTATACATAAGAAACCCTACAGGGTGGGGGTGGAGGTTTCCACCCTGTAAAGCTTTCTCTTACAGAAGAACTGACTCCTGTATTATTCATTTCTTATCTTTTTGAGATGGGATAAAAGCAGTAGACGGAGTCTCCCGGGTAAGAACAAAGGCCGCACCTAAGCTCTCTCTTCTCTTTCATGGTCCTCGGCTGGTTCCTGATGGTTTTGATTCTGTCTCTGGATGTCATGGGAACCAGGGATGCAATTAGTTTTTGTCCTGCAGAAGAAAATGAACAGAGTTCTGACTCTTATTTCTTTAGCACAGTCTTAACATTTTTTTTTTTTTTTTTTTTTTTGGTTTTTCGAGACAGGGTTTCTCCGTGTAGCTTTGCACCTTTTCCTGGAACTCACTTGGTAGCCCAGGCTGGCCTCGAACTCACAGAGATCCGCCTGGCTCTGCCTCCCGAGTGCTGGGATTAAAGGCGTGCGCCACCACCGCCCGGCCCAGTCTTAACATTTTAAAAGCTGAAACTGGAGCAAGACTTGGCAGTGCATGCCTACAATCCCAGAACTGGGAAGCGGAGGCAAGGTAGAAAGCCCAGAGCTATCCTGGGCTCCAAAGTGAGTTCATGGCCAAGCTAGCCTGGGCTCCACAGTGAGTTCAAGGCCAAGCTAGCCTGGGCTCCACAGTGAGTTCATGGCCAAGCTAGCCTGGGCTCCATAGTGAGTTCAAGGCCAATCTAGGTTTGAGTGAGATCTTCCCCATAGTTTCAGGCATTTGAATGTTTGTTCTCCAGTTGGTGACACTGTTTGGGGAGGCTGAGGAGGTGTGGCCCTGTTGAAGGAAGTGCACCATGGAGTGGGTGGAGGCTTTGAGAGCTGAAAGACTTGAGCCATTCTCAGTTAGCACTCTCTACTTCCTGCTCTCAGCTCCAGATGTGAGCACTCAGCTTCCTGTCCCAGTCGCCATGCCTGCTGCTTACTGTCATGCTTCCCTGCCACAGCTGACTCTTAACCCCATGAACCGTAGTCCCAAATAAAGGCCTTCTTTTCTAAGCGACCCAGTGAGAGTCTGTCTTGCACACTCCCATAAACAAATTAATCAATCAGTCAGTTATGGTATTGAAACTAGAGCATGATTTATTTGGAGACAGACTCTTGCTCTCTCTATAGCCCACATTGGCCTGGAGCTGGTGGTTCTGTTCCCTCAGTCTCCCAGTGCCAAACAATGGACACACAGCACCATATAGACTGATAAAGGTGATAACATAGACTCAGGGATTCCAAAAATCACAATTGGGGTTTGTCGAAGGGGTGAAAACTTTTAATCCCCACACTCAGGAGGCAGAGGCAGGTGGATCCCTGTAAGTTCAAGGCCAGTCTGCTCTACATAGTGACTTTCAGGTCAGCTAGAGCTACATAGTGGGACCCTGTCTCAAAAAAAAAAAAGCCACAAATAGACGTGTGTGTGTGTGTGTGTGTGTGTGTGTGTGTGTGTGTGTGCGCGCGCGCGCGCATACATGTGTGCTCAAAATCAAAACAAACATTTAGATTATTCTAATCCAATACTTCTGTTTTTCCCAAGATCAAAAAAAGAAAAAAAAAATCACTGAGCAAAGTAACAGATCTTACCTGCTTCACATCTCTTACTTGCTTGTCCTACATGGTTTCCTTTGCTTCTGAAATCCAGGCCTCAGTGCCTTCCTTTTTCTGGGTCCCTGACAGCTGCAATGGCTCTTAACTCTTCTTAATCTCCCTCAAACTCACGTCCTGTTTTCAGCCACATGGTCAAGCTGTTGGTCTCAAGCCTCCAAGCTGTCCCTTTTGTTAACTCACTGTGAACTCCAGCTGAGTTCAGACTGTGCCCCATTTCCCTCACAAGACCTGAGATTCCCCTGCAAACACCATCTCCAGGCACACAGGATGGGTCTCAGTGAGTCTAAGGCAATCCAGTGGCCTTATCCCCTTTGCAGGGGACTTAGAGGTGTGTGATGTACTGATGAAACTGAAAAGTTTCTTGGAAAGGATTTCTTTTTTCTACAAAAAAAAAAAAGGAGCAGGCAAAAGACCACCTTTCTTCCTCTGGATAGCGTGTGTCAGGTGTAGCTCCGAGCTGCTGTGACCATCTGCTAACACTGAGTAGGACTGGCTGGCTGGATGCCCTGCTGAGGTGCAGGTGTAGGCTGCTCCTCAGGCTCAGACACAACATGGAGCCAGAAAACTTCAGAGGAAGCCCTGGGCTCATAGAGGTGGAAGGGGGCTCCTCAACAGGCAACGACTTACTCTGGTGAAAAAGAGGAGCTTTTGCCTTCCCTGTGCAGGATAGGTAAGACGGAGGGGAGGGGAAGGACAATGCAGAGTAACAGGGGAGGGGCAGGCAGTGTGAGCAAGGATGCCCTGACCATTAGTAAAGGGTTGGGTGTGGGTACATCTCCCCTTCTCCTAGGAATTACTGGCACAGGCTAGACTTTATACCTAGAACAAAAATATTAAAAGAATTTCTTGTATAAGATCTCATGAAACTCAAGCTGCTCTCAAACTTCCTACATAGCTGAAGCTGACACTGAACTCTGAGCCTCCTTCCTTTACCTCATGAGTGCCAGGACCATGGATATATACCACCATGTCCTGAGCATATGGTGCTGGGGTAGAGCCCAGGGATTTTGAAATGCTAGGCAAACACTCCACCAACTGAGCCCCAGCCCCAGGCCTATGTCTGAAGTATTATGGGGTGAAAGAGAAATGGCATTTGTGTTGGCCTCAGGAGCTCAGAGACTAGAAGGTCTCAGCTAAGATCAGGGCTCAGGATGAACTTAGCCATGAGGCATCTTGTCTTGTCCCATGAATCCAAAGTGACAATGACGTTTCCTGAGCCTCAGTCTCCTCCTCATTAAGCCCTGCCTCAAAGGTGCAGAGTGTGAGAAAAATGTAACTAAATTCAGTGCCTCACAAAGCTAAACTTGATGGTTGAACTTCAGGCACAAGAGGTAAGGTTGTCTGGCAAAGAAGCTCTCAGTAGGCAGGTCTCAAAGTGACACTCTTCATCTCCAACATCCTTTAGATTACTGACGGTGCCCTTGAAAATGACTTGATATTTTAAAAACTTTTTAAAGGCTAGAGAGATGGCTTAGTGGGTCAAGTGCTTGCCATAGGAGTGTGAGTATCTGACTTTGGACCCCCAGAAGCCATGCAAAAACCTGGGCACAGCACCACACACTCATCACCCCAGAGATGGGGAGGCAGACACAGAAGGGGCCCTGGGGTTCACTAGCCAGCCAGTCTAGCTGACTCCGGGGGCTGAAGATTCAGGGAAAGACCCTGTCTCAAAAAATAGAGTGCAGAGGCCAGCATGACTCAGCAGGTAAAAGCCCTTGCTGTGAAAGCCTGATGCCCTGAGTTCAATCCCCAGAAGCTGGACCCCAGGGAAAGGTAAGAGAGGATTGACTTCACAAAGCTGTCCTCTGACCTCCACACATGCATACATGCATATGTACACGTACACGTACACACACACACACACACAAACAACAATAACCTGTAGACATCCTTAAAGCTACTTCCATAACTTTTCCCAAGTGTTCCCTACCTTGAACAGTTTCATGGAAACTACAGGTTTCATCCATGCCCAGGCACTCTGGGCCATGATGGCTCTGAGAAATTGATTCATTCAGAGATGAAAACCTCAACAACCGGTGCTTTCTGTCATTCCCATTGCTGAAGATCTGACTGTCTATGGTGTCCACCACTGATGATGAAACCATGTCAAAGGTGGAGTTTGCTGATGACTTTCTTAGAAAAATCTGATTTGATTTTTGTCTTTGGACTCCCGATGGAACATTCTCCACTTCTATGATGATTTCATTTACTTGGTCATCTGACAGCATTTCTGGCCTCTGATGAGTCTTGTGCTTCACAGGATTGGCCATCAAAGGCCTCATAAGCACTCACACTGGCATGGTTGAGCCCGCCAGGGACATTGGAGAAAGGATACCCCATTCACAAGGAGCACCACACAAATTACAATATGACTTCCTGCCTCTATCCCCTGAGGGCTTCCTCAGGAGGAGACATGTTTCCCTACAGAGAATTCTGCCTCGGTAGCTAAGTGATAAATTATAAACAGAACCCTTCATTAAAGACAATGGGGTTCTAGAAACAGAAGGTGGGGAGTCTTCTAAATGACTTGTAATCACAGGACAAGGCTTTCTTCTCAGTTTTACAATCATCATCTGATATGCACATTTTAGGGCAGCGAGACGGCTCAGTGAGTCAAGGTGCATGCTGCCAAAACTAATGACCTGTGTTTAATCCCCACACGGTGGAAGGACAGAACCGATCTCTGCAAGTTTCTCCTTGATTTCCACACAGGAGACTGCACACACCAATAACTAAATGTATTTCTATATGAACCCAGGTGAGTTCATAATTATTATTCTCTCTTGACCATCTCAGGTCTGCCTTCTAATAGCCATCCTCCTTGTGCTGGCAGAAGCCTCAGCTCCTGTTCAGACACCGTGCTCAGTTAAGATTCTCCCAGCTTCCTTTGCAGAAAAGGGTAGCCATGTGACCCGGTTTTAGCCAATGAGAAAGCAGCTTTTAGGACTGGGCTTTAAAAAAGTTGGTTTGCTTGGCTTTTGCTCTTCACCACCCTTCTGCCTTTGTGCCTTTGGTTTTGAAAACGATTAAGTCGACATTCATTTGCTAAGGATGATGGGCAGAGTGAGGGAGACTCAGTCCTTGAGGACATCATGGGATAGCTTCCCTATTGAACTGCTCCCTCCACTCCTCCTATTCCTCAAGAAAAATAAGTTCTTTGTCACTAAGCCATTGTTCGGCCTCAGTGACAGAGATGTGAACAGAATTACTGTACAGACCCGACTTAAAAGTAACCTGGACCAATTTGCTCATTTTCCGGTGGACCAAACTGAGGGCAGAGAGATGGATTGGAAACACTTGCTCCACTGACTCCTATTTAATGTCAGCACTAGACAAGAACTTCCTATCTCCTCCCACAGTGGTCAGTGGCGTCACCCAGACCTGCCCTAACCAAGGGCAGATACTTCAGAGTACGATATTCAGTTTTCACAACTGCCCCATTTCATAGCTAAGAAAACTGAGGCTCAATGGGGAGGATTTTGCCTAAGGCTAAGATGTCAGAAAGCAGTGGAGCTAAAGGTCCAGCTGAGGTGGTCTGAACCCAGAAAAGCAGAGCTTGAGTGTTTCTCCTTTGCCCCCTCCTGGAACAGGTGCTAACGTGTATTCATTCATCACTCATTCATAAATTAGCGAGTACTTACTAGCGCTTGCTCTGTGCCAGGGAGTTACCAGAATCCATAAGAGTGACACATTATTAATGAACTGATACGTGATTTGAAAATCAGAAAGCAGGGAGATTAAAAGCTGTGTCTTCTATTTCTTCACCCCTCTCTGCTTCTGAGGGTCTCTTCTTCCACCCTCATGCTGGCTAGACAGAGCAGTCTAATGGTCATGGCATTCTTTCCCCAATAGTTAAAGCCAATCTCTGCTTCACTGACAGCATCCTGCCAGGCTGCTGTGTCTGTCTCTTGTAAAAGTTACACTTTAGCTTAAGAAAGTTCTGGAAGGGTGAGTCTGGAGACTGCTGGGAGGATATGGCACTAACAGAAAGAAATAGCTTTAAGTCACAGGGCGGGGGAGGGGGCGGGGGTCCCTCAGTTTGTACTGCAATAACCCTGTGTGTTTGGTCCTCTTTATTCACAGGCTTGCCGTTGTGATGGCATTCTTTGATGTCTCTCTGATGGCTTCCATGGGGCGGATTGGTCTCTGTCTGCAAGTAAAACCCTCATTGCCACACAACAGGACATTTAGAGTTTCCTAATTCTTCAAAACCTTCAATCTTTCAGGAGAGATCATTCAATGTATGCAATCAGGTAAGCCTGAAGACTTGAGTTCAAATCCCAATATCCATGCTAAATGCTAAGTATGCTTGCCTCCTGTAAGTCTAGGGCTTGGGAGGCAGAGATAGGATCTAGGAATCCCAAAAACTCTCTTCGATGAGGCCAGGGAACATACCTCAGCAATTAAAGTGGCTTTCAGCCCAGCTTGATGACCTGAGTTCAGTCCTGGGCATCAACAATGTAGAAGGAGAGAACCAACTCCCCCAAGTTTGTCCTCTGACCCCCATATGTGTACACACACACACACACACACACACACACACACACACACACACACACACAAGTAAATAAATACATAAAAACATTATTATTTACTTTTGTGACAAGGTTTCAATATGTTGCCCTGACCAGCCTGGAACTTGCAATGTAGACTAGACTGGCTTTGAACCCACACAGACATACCTACCACTGCCTCCAAAGTACTGGGACTAAAGGTATGTGCGGCAACATCTGGCCAAAATGTAGTTTTAAAGAGTGGGGGTCTTTGCCTCAAAATGTAAGTTGAAGCAATAGAGGAAGATGTCAATCCCTGACTTCCATAAGTGTGTGCATGCACACACACGTACACACACACACACACACATACACACACACACACATACACACTCACACGTACACCACATCCAAACGCTCATATACATATTCACATCATATACACAAACATATACAAATAAGGAAAAGAAAACAAAGCTTTCTGTCTTTCACTGGTCTACATACTTCCACATCTCAACATTATGCAAGTTGCTTTATTATCTCCCAGTTTTTTAATCAGTGGACTTTGGCCCCAGAAACACAAACATTGTCCATGAGACAGATGGCCCTATCTTATGATAAAAATTATTGATTTCAGTGTGGGCATGTGATCCTCATAGCACTGGACAGCTAACAGGAAAGAAAAGCCTTCCCTCTAAAGGATAACTATGTTGAGGGGCATCTGTGGGTCTGGTGGCCGTCTTTGAAGGTCAAGTTTAAAGAGAGGCTGAGCCAAGCAAAGGTGAGAGATGGATGAGTAATAAGCCCAACAGACCCAGCCTTGGCTTCGGACTCTAAGGCCGTGGTTTCTATATTCAGCAAAGTTTTCCTACACCCTTCCTCCATAAGCCAATAAATTCCCCGCTAATGCCCATCTGACCTGGGTTTCCGTTATAACCAGAAGATTTTTTTAAATGTGTGTGTATGTGAATAAGTATGCAACTGTGTGTGCATGGGCGCACTCACCCGTGTGAGTGGGCATGTGTGGAGGCCAGAGGCTGATGCTAGGATGCCTTTCCTCTGTCACTCTCCATCTTATTTTTTGAGATATGGTGTCTCAACAGAACCAGAAGTTTGTCATTTGGGCTAGACTGGTTACCCAGTGAGCTCCCAGGATCCACCTGTCTCTGCCCCACAGCACAGCACTGAGTTCCAGGCACTTGACATCATAGCCAGCTTCTTCTGTGTGTGTGTGTGTGTGTGTGTGTGTGTGTGTGTGTGTGTGTGTGTGTGTGTGTGTGAGTTCTTGGAATTCAAACTCAAGTCTTCACTGCTGCACAGCAGGCCTTGACCCACTGGGCCATCTCCCCAGCCCACAACCAGAAGGTTCCTAATGAAGATACCCTTAATGCTTAGCTGGGAAGCATGCATCATCTAACAGGAAACTAAGCACTGAGGCTCTGGTTCAAGGATGAAGTGTGTGTTTCCCATTCATAAGACCCCAGGTTCATCCCCACAGCAAAAGAGGGAAAGAAGGTGGGTAGGGAGAGGTGGAGGGAGGGAGGCAGGGAGAAAACCCTAGGGATAAATGAAGCATCAAGTTCTTAACGTTGCATTAAGATGTTCTTAGCATCCATTAGAAGGCCAAGAGCATTGAAGACATGGCCATCTCCAGTACCTGGGTTGCCCTGAGCCCAGTCCTTTCCCAAGGATGACTTTTTGGGGATGATTCATAAGACTTACCTTGGGGTGATGTGTACCAATCACGTTCACATAGCAGCAGGTTTCCATCTGTACAGGCAGGGCTACTTCCTCTCTCGTAAGCAGAATTCACTGGAATGGGGAGGGGAACATAGCTAGTCAGTCCTTCTCCACTGGACACTGAGGAACACATGATGGCTGAATGTACTCACAGTGGCTAGGAAGGGTGACTCATACTAAGACTTTGCTTTTGAGGTCCTACAAGATCAGAGGTTAAGAACTTGGGTAGAAAATAGGATTAAAATACAAAAACCATACAATTATAACTAGTTAGGGGCTGGAGAGATGGCTCAGTGGTTAAGAGCACTGGCTGCCCTTCCAGAGGACCTGAGTCTGGTTCCCAGCATCCCAGAATACACATGGCAGCTCACAACCACCTGTAACTCCAGTTCTAGGGGATTTGGTGCCCACTTTTTGCCTCTGAGGGCACTGCACAAATATGGTGTACAGACATACATGCAGACAAAACACTTATATATATATCAAAAAAATATTTTGTAAAATTAATACTTGTGATCTAGCACTAAGACATGCTTATGTAACTGAATACATTTCATGAAAATGTATTTCATATAGACTTAAGTTTATATACTTACATTTTAAGCCTATTTCACTTTATAACTGATTATACTTGTTAATAAGTTATAGGTCACATTGAAACTGCTTGTAAAAGTGAGCACAAAGGTTCCTTGAAGCTGTAATGTTTTGTGACCGCACATGGAGTAAGTGTGGTCTGATTTTCCTTGGGACAGAGTCCACTCTCTGCATCTGTAGGACAGTGTCACATTCCAATATATGTTTATGCAATCTGCATTAAAGATGAAAGGCAGACTCAACATAGAATAAGGGCACTTTTGAAGGGGACACCGTCAGAGGTTCTAGAACCCCTTGCTTGGGAGTAATTCTCAGCCCTGTTATCTGCCAGCTGTTTGCCCCAGGCATTTAACACCTCTGAGCCTCAGTGTCACAATCTGTAAAATGGGGATAACAATCTGACTTTCACACAGGATTGCTGGTGGAACCATCTGTTAAGACATGTGACACTGAAATAAGCCATTAAAACGGAGCAGGGGGAGACCCACACACCTCCCCCTGGCGGCCTGCCATGGGGAGAAAACACGGGCCTGCCTGGCACAACAAGGTTGGGCACTATTATGGTGAGTAAATATATGGTGGGTTGAGAGAGAGAGAGAGAGAGAGAGAGAGAGAGAGAGAGAGAGAGAGAGAATGAGAATGGTTCATGCCCTGTGGAGAGAGGCAGATCTGAAAAGGTGAAGGTGGTGAGGAGCAGGCTGAGGTGGGAGGCCTGCTTACCACCTGGGGCCATGGTGATATGTGGGCCTGAGCTGCTTGCTGCACAGGCCCATGTCTGGGTTTGTGGCCCTGCTGCAGCCCCAGTCTGTGTTGGTGTCCATGGCTCCTGTTACCACTGAAGGCCAAGAGACATTGCTGCAGAGTTGGTCCCTCCCCTCACTGGCTGCAGCACCAGGGAGAACTGGCCTGGCCTCTCACCAGCTGCAGCTACAGGGACAGCAGGTCCTATACCTCACCTGGGCAACACAGCAGAGCTGACCCTGTTCTCAGGAGTGTGGGTGAGCTGGCCCTGCTCCCCTCATCTGCCATGTGCTGGTGTGGGTGAGGGAAAGATGCCCCCTCCGCCCCTCTTACTACCTGCAGAACTTGGGAGAGCTGATCCTGCCCCTCACCAGGGCCAGTACTCAAGAGAGCAGGCCCTGCATCTCACCTGGGCAGCAGGTAGATGACTAGAAACAGGTAAAATTATGTTAAAAGAGCATTCATAATTAATAAGTCTCTGTGTCTTTATTTGGGAGCTGGTTGGTAGCCCAAAGAAAATGCCAACTACATACAGATCTCTGGACTACAAAGTGAGTTCTAGGACAGCCAGAGCTACATAGTGAGACCCTGTCTCAAAACAAACAAACAAAACACCAAAATATCAAATGAAAAAACAACCCTCTAGGTTTGGGGGTTTGTTAGTTATGGAGCATTCCTGTCACAAAAGGTAGCAGATACAACTCGGTACAGTTGTTACTAGTTCAATTAGCATTTCTCCCACATACACTGTTTGCCAGGCACCATGACACTAGGAAAATCACCGAGAGCCTTGGAGGACTCACAGATGGTTCTGAGTTCTTCAGAAGTGAATAGCTTACCACAATGGAGGGACACTGGGAAGGGGTTGGCTGGCTCTGGGACCTTTGTCCTATAGAGGATCCCAGAGTAGAAAGCCACCATTGACTTTTTTTTTTTCATTTTAAGTGTGTGTGTGTGTGTGTGTGTGTGTGTGTGTGTGTGTGTGTGTGTGTGAAGCTCAGAGATTGACATCAGATGTCTTCCTCAATCACCCCTCCACCCTATTCTTTGAGGCAGGGTCTCTCTGAGCTTGGAGCTCATCTATTCAGCTAGCCCGGCTGGCTGTGGAGCTCTAGGAATCTGCCTGTGCCCCGCTCCCATTGCTGGAGGTACATCACCATGCCTGGTTTGTACATGGCTGCTGGGGATCTGAACTCACGTCCTCTTGGTTGCACAGCAAGCAATTTACCCATCAAACCTTCCCCCAAGTCCTTAACTTGTCTTTGAAGAATTTTAATTTCCAGTGTTCTCTAGAGCCGGATGGTGAGACATCCACCCATGTCTGCCCTGACTCTACCCAGCAGCACTTCATGGGAAACAGGGAGTCACGGTCTGGGTAAGCCTGGATTCCTCTTGGCTGCCAAATTAGTGGTTGAGTGACATTGGCATTTTCTTTCTGAGCCTCAGTTTGTCCCTTAAGCAAAGTTGGAGATCTTTCCCCCCTCACTGTCCTTCCTGTGAAATTTTATTGTCACAACTGTGTTTGATACCTGCCTCGTGCTGTGTGTGTGCCTGTGCTTAGGACATCCAAACAGTAAGATCCCCCTGCACCTATCAACTCCCTTGCCCTCCTCCTGAGAATGCAAAGTACACATGTTTATGATATTCTTGGGCAGAACAATTAGTGTCCCTGCCCTTTGCAGACGTAGTTCTTGACAGTCAGTGTTCTCAGTAGTACAGATGCCCCCGGATTACCACGACTCCACTTGTGATTGTTCAGCTTTATGCGGGAGGGACTCAGTAGAAATCAGCTTTCAGAACTGTAGCTGTTTGTTTATTGTGCTTTGAGACAGGGTCTCTCTATGTAGCCCTGGCTGTTGTGGAATTCAATATGTAGACCAGGCTGGTCTCAGACTCACAGAGATCCACCTGCCTCTGCCCTCGGAGTGATGAAATCAAAGGTGTGAGCCACCACACCCAGATTTCAAATTTGTTACTTTAAAGGCTGGGAATGTGCTCAGCAATATAGGAAACTGGATATTTTCCTAGTATATGTGAGGCCCTGGGTTCAATACTCAGCATCATAAAAAAAAAATTGAAATGTAACATTCTCTTTTCCTTCCTTTTTTTATATTTATTTTTTAATTTTTGAGACAGAGTCTCTTGTAGCCCAGGCTGGCCTCAAACTATGTAATTGAGAGTGACTTTGAACTCCTGATCCTCCTGCCCACCGCCCACCCCCACAGAGTGCTGGGATTACAAGTGTCCCACCTCACCCTGTTAAACTTGAAAATGTCCTCTCTAGAGATTTGCCTGGCCCATGATGCTGAGTAGCGGCAGTGAACTGCAGCCCACACATCACCAAGGGAAACAGCTCAGAGCATTCTTCAGCGCAGCATGGTGCTAAATGAGGAGGTTCCACAGTGGATTCGATGAGTTTTGACTTGTGGTATTTTCACACAGAGCATAAGTCCAGGAGCATCTACTCACAGAGAGATGCACCCCATCCCTTCCCCTCTGCTGCCTTCAAAACCATTCCCAGCACCTGCTCCAGCCTATCAACCTTCTGCCTGAGTGTCAAGCACCAGCATCCTGTGCTGTTCTTAGATGGTCCTTCTCTGCTGCCTTCCATTTCCCCCTCTCTTCCACTTCTTCCTCCCCCGCCTCCTTTCTGTCTTCGCCCCCTCCCTCCCCTCCCCTCTCCTCCTCTCCCCTCTCCTCCCCTCTTCCTCTTTGATTCTCAGTGATGCACCTGGCTTCCTGCACACCAGGTTCTAGTTTCTACACGTAAGGAGGGCGTGTGAGGGGAGGAGGAGCCAATGTCACAGCTGTGGCATGCCTTAATTCATTGCCTTTGCTTTCTTCCTGGGACACTAATGCCACCTTAACACATACTTACCATAGCCATTTCTAGGAGAGTGGCCCTGTGGACCTGCCATCACCATGGACGCCATTTCAATGCCTTCAGGGTAGTCTTCATTCTCTCTCCCTAGCATGCCCAAGGGGCCATTCCTCCTGCAGGAAATAGGGATCCCATTGAATATGTTCTGCTGAACCCAAAGGATGGCTATCTGTGCTGGTCCATCTTATTATCACCTTGACTGGATTGAAAAGGCCTAGGAAATTCATAAAGCACACCTCCATGTCTATGAGGGTCATTCCAGAGAGGATTATCTAAGGGGGGGAGACCCTCCCTGAATGAGGGCAGCACTGCCCATAAGGGGACCCCAAATGAAATCAAAGCGGAACCAAGAAAAACAAACCTGAATGTGTATTCTCTCCCTCCCTCCCCGTCCATCCCCCCACTCCCTCGGTCCCCCCCTCTCTTTTCTTCTCCCTGTCTCTCTGCTTCTTGGCTACCATGACGTGAAGCCTTCTACTTCACCACACTCTCTGCTCCACGATGGGCTGAAACTTTTGAAACCATGAGCCCAAATACATCTTTTCTCCTTTAATTTGTTTATGTCTGATTTGTTGTTGTTGTTGTTGTTACAGTGGCTTCACTGCTGAGCCATCGCTCTAACCCTCCTTTTGTTATTTTTACAGGACTCCAGTTAGCAGAGCAATTCTAGTGAACAGTTAAAGTCAGGTGACTTGGAGCCCAGCTCTGAGGTAGAGAGGGGACAGGAGCAGGACCAGCTGCTCTGGGGCTGGCACCTTGCTCTTGTGTTGGCACTGTGTAGCTTCCTGTTCCTCAGTCCATAAGTGAAGGGGAACAGCCTGGCTCCCAGGTTAGGAGGATCCGTGAACGATGAAAAGAGGGCTGATGGGATCAGGGTGGCTCTTGGAACGGTGACTCAGGCGGCCAGAGGTAACATCTGTGGCCTGGTCCTGAAGATCCACTATCTAGGTCCTAACGACATTTATCTGATCGCTGCATATCAAGTCCTGTGTCCTTGCTCCTGGAGATAAATGCACGCCACTGGAGTCTTGTTATTTCTGTTTTCTTCCCTCTCCTCCCCCTCCCTCCTCTCCCTCTCTTCCTCCTTTCCTCCCTTCCTTCCTTTCTTCCTCCCTCCCTCGTTCCCTCCACCCCCTCTCCCTTCTTTTTTTTCTTCCTTCTTTGTTTTAAGAAAGGGTCTCACTATATAACCCAGTCTGGCCTTAAGTCACAATCCTCCTGCCTCAGCCTCCCAAGTGCTTACATTATGGAAATGTAGAACCACTTCTAAGAGAGCCATTTTTAAGAACTCAAATTTATAAATATTATAATTGAAATGGTACATGTAAAGTAAGACATGTATCAGTTAAAATGTCATGTGGCAAAATGTATAGGTTAACAACAACAATAAACTAACCAAAAAAATAAGTATGTTGTTAACATGACCTCTGGAAAAGTGAGCCTAGGAAAATTAGGTTTGGCCCAGCTGTGGCACCCAGATAATGCTGTCAAGGTCTAAAGCCATACCAGATAACAGTGACCAAAAATGCCAGAAGTTAAAATCCTTTATCCTACACTGACTGGTGAGCTGAATGCTTGATCCTCAGCTAGTGGCACTATTTGGGGGTTTCTGGAAACTTTGGGAGATGAGCTCTGACTGGAGGAAGTAGCTCACTGCAAGTGGGTCCTTGGGGGAGGAATTTTGTCCCTTCACCTCCAACCATCCACCCAGTTTCACTCTCTTTGCCACCCCCCCACACACACTCACACCAGGATGGGAACAGCTCTCCTCTGCCACATATTCCTGTGGACATGACGTTCTGCCCAAGAGCATAGTACCAAGACATCATGGGCTTGAATTGTTGGCATTGTTTGTTTGCATTGGGCATTTTAGACACAAAGGTAATCAATATATGTCCCTAACAGAAACCAGTGGACCAACTCCCACTGCCTTGATGATTACCCCAATGTGGGGGATAGACTTGAACTTACCTCCTGATGACTCCCAGTTTGGAAGAGCCATAACCATGATCTTCTTCAGCACCTGGATAATCAGGTTCTCCCCAAAAGTCTGGAGCATTCTTTGAGTTCTCAGCACCAGGATAGTCTGGTTCTCCATAAAAGTGGGGAGAGTTTGGCTGATTCTCAGCACCTGGGTAATCAGGTTCCTCCAAGGTGTTTGGGTAAGAATTGATTCTGGAACCAGCATAACCTACATCTCTTCTGGAGCCTGGCAGGTTGGAATTGGCTCTGGGGCCAGGATGGTCAGAGTTGCCCTGAGCCCCAGGGTAGTCTGGTTCTTCCAAGGATCCCAAATAACCTAGATTGGTTCTGGAACCTGCATAGTTCATGCTCCTTCTGACTCCTGCAAAACCAGGATGGCGCTGAGAGCCGGGGTAGTGAGGCTCTGGGGATGAGCCTGTGCCGTAGGGATCGTTCTGGAAGTCATTATAGTCTGGCTTAGGAAAAGACTCCTGATAGTCTGGCCTTGTTCTGGAATGTGCAGAGAATGAAGGACTCCTGGTGCTGTGATAGTCTGTGTTACTCAGAGATCCAGGATAATCTGCTTCCGCTAGAGAGCTGGGGTAGTCTGGATTTGTTCTAGAGCCCGAAGAATATGGGTTGTTCCTGGGACGGTGGAAGCCTGGATTGTCCAGAGAACCTGGAAATTCTAAATGATCCTGTGTATGGTTTTGAGACCCTGAATAGCCAGGGTAGTCAGCACGTCCCTTGTAGCTGCTGTTCCTGTGAAAGGAAGACATGATGCTGTAGAGTCTTCAGCCAGTTGTGTTAAAGCATCACCGCCTCTGGAGCAACTCGGGGACCTTTTTATTAACCTAAAAAACCAAAAAGGAAGGGAAAGGTCAGTTATTTTTCTTCCTCCCGTGCATAAATTGCTGGGTTTCTTCCAATGTCTAATGATTAGCTGCTTAGGTGCCAAGAACAGTGACTCCATTTTGCAGCCTCCCCACTCCTATGAGGAGGCTCTGAAAGTGCTCAATGGCAGGCCAGCAGAAGCATTATCTACAACTTCCAGGTCGTACTGTTAGAGGACTGAAGTCATTCCCCTGTTTCTCAGCTTTCTACTTTCTGTGTGCCGGCACAGAGCTGTTGAACGGTGGTCTTGGGTCATGAGGACGACAGTGCTCTCTGTAGGAACAATAGCATAATATATGGGGAGTTGAGTTGTGGGCAACTCCCCTGAGCAAAGCACAGAGCTCAGACTACTATGGAGGAGAGAATAAACCTGTGTCTTTTCTCAAGATATTGATACCTATAACCACAGTTGTATCTTTAATAATTAGCCTGTATGATGGGGGGGGGGGGGGTCCTTAACCAGAGATTAGAAAAAACAAAATAATTTTTTAAGACAGAGTCTCATGTAGCCCAGGCTGGCCTTGAGCACACTATGTAGCAGAGGATGACCTTGTGCTCAAGGTCAAGGATTACAGACTTGTGCTAACATGCCTCGTTTAAGCCATGCGGGGCTTCGTGCAAGTTAGACAAGTACTCTACCAACTGAGCTTCGTCCCAGCCCTCGGAACCAGAACATCTTTGAGCTGTTTGTTTGTTTGAAACAAGTCTCCCTGTGTAGCCCAGGCTGGTCTGGAATTCACAATCCTCTAGCCTCAGTCTCCCAATGCTGGGGTTACAGGTGTGCACCACTGCATCTAACCTTGAACATTTTTGATTGCTCTTGTGTTTCTAGGGTTAAAGGCACAAATCAGCTTGCGTGCGCAAAGGAAGACTAGTTTACAGAACCGAGACAGAAGGCTAGGATGAGGACACCAGCTGGGATCCGTTATTGTTTGAAAATGTGACTTTATCAGTTCTATGAGCTCTTCAGATGGGGAGCACTCTCTAATCAAGTGACAAGGTTTTCTCTAGATGTCCCTTCTCTAGAAACAATGCCTCGATTTCCCCTAGAAATTCTCCCCACTCCCACTTTGCGCAGGTGATACAGAAACTCTGCATTGTACAACAATACACAATGATCATGCAACCCCAGCCTACCAATCAGCATCCACCATTTCTTTGGATACAGGATTTTGGCTCAGTAATGCGTGGACTCACATATCCCATTAGTTCTGAAGGATCTAGGCTGGGCTTGCTGAGGAGAAGATGCTCTTCTTCCAAGGAGGTAAGCAGCTCAGCTTGGAGCTACTGTTGGGGTGTCAGTGGGGGTAAAGAAGAAAATAATACACAGAGGAGAAAGTTCACAAGAAGAGCCAACAGGGTTTGTTGCTAAGCCTGCAGGGGGAAGTAAGGAAAGTAAAGCACAAACACACCTCTGCTGTTTGACGCCTGAACGATTAGGTAAACGCGGATGCCTTCGAAGAAGGAAGTATAAGATTTTTAAAGCTTGGCAAACTTATACAAGTTTATTGCTGTGTAAATGACATGGGTTCAGCTTTGAATAACCAAAGCTTAAGAAAATATTAACTCTCTCCCCTCAACTGTGCCTTCGGAACGTTTACGGGCTGACTCGATTCTGCTCAGCACCAAGGAATCAATCAGCTTTCCTCCCCTTTCTTCCTTCCTGGTGTCCGTTGCTCTCTGCTGTGGAAACACATCTCCTTGGGTAGCACCCCTCCCTACACCAAGCCCCTGTGGGCTGGATGTGGAGATTGTCTTCTTCCAGATCATGTGACCAGGGAGAGGGCAAATCACCCAAGCAGAACTAGAGAGTCAATCCTAGGAGCTTTGTGTTGCTGGAATCATAGCCAGGCAATTTCAGCCTGAAGCTTCCACTAGTCACCAATGGGAAGGCTTGCTAAAAGTGATGCCCACAGAGAGAGAGCAGGGCCAAGAGAAATGTAGAAAGAAGAGTGCTGGTGATGTGCGTGCAGCCGCTGGATCCAGGCACACCTCAAGGCAGGTGAACACCACATGCCTGCGTCATTGCCTTCCCTTTTTGACATAATTTAGGGTCGAGTTGCTGATTGTTGGCCAATGAAACAGAAGAATCTCGACTACAATATGACCTTTGCAAGCAGGGACATTTATACACACTGGAGTGCCATGAAGACCTACTGCTGTGCTTTGCTGCAAATTATCTCTCCTAACATGGTTTGGAACTCATTTGTTGCCTTGTAGCAATTACCATGTCTATGCTAGGAACTCCCAAGCGCTACATAAGGCCAAGGTCTCAACTTACATCCAAGTAAGGACTAGTATATTCAGGAAATAAAAAGATATATGTAGGCCGAGAAATAAATATATCCACCCAAAAATGACAAGTCATAGAAACTTTTTATCAAGGCACCTCAAAAATTGAAAACTCAGATGTCATTCCAGAGCAGAAAGAGAGAATGAATTATGGTGTGCTCACAGCATGAAACACTATGCAGTAATAAAGAAGACTGAACTTTTGGTACATGAGGTAGTGTGGATGACTTCCACAGATAAAAGGGTCGAACACAACAGAGCATATGCTGTATAAATCCATCCCAGTTCAAGAGCAGAAGAGTAACATGTGCTGATTTTAGTGGGAATACTGGACACCGAGAAGGAAAGAGCCCGACAATGAGCCGGATCTTCCACGAGGGTATCCCTAAGGAGCTGGGTTATGATCTTGTATTCTTGGGTAGTGGATGCCTAGAGGTATAGAGATGTATGTGTGTGTGTGTGTGTGTGTGTGTGTGTGTGTGTGTGTGTGTGTGTGTAGATGTCCGCTGAGTTGTACACTTAAGACCTGTGTACATATTTGTCAATATATTACTCTTAAACTGAAAATGAAAATGAAGGCTGGAGGTGTGGGGACTGTGATGCTTGATATGGTAGCAGAAACAGGAAAATCACAAGCTTCAGGCTAACCTCGGCTACACTGTGAGTTTGAGGTTAGCCTTGGCTAGCCAGCAAGACTTTCTCAAAACAAAAAAAAAGAAGGAAGGAAGGAAGGAAGGAAGGAAGGAAGGAAAGAAAGAAAGGAAGGAAGGAAGGAAGGAAGAAAGAGAAAGAAAGAAAGAAAGAAAGAAAGAAAGAAAGAAAGAAAGAAAGAAAGAAAGAAAGAAAGAAAGAAAGAAAGAAAATACCAGGAAAACCAAAACCAGAAGTTATACCCATAAAATAATACACCAATGTTTTGGGCTCACAGATGCTTCTGACTTTCTTGCATCTAATTCATAGAAAATCTGAATGAGTAAAAACAAAATCTAGGTGAAGACAGGACGTATTATCTGACTTAACTGTTGATGTGGTACTAAAATGAAAGTGGTTAGGAACACTAGTACTTGGCGTCAGGTAGGAAGGACATTAGTTCCCATTTGCTGGCTAGACTGGGCACCTAACTGCTTGCACACCCACCTGACACCAATAGTAACATCTTAGCACCATCCCCAGGCAGCCTTCAGGGAACAGAAGTCCCTGGTGAGCAACGTTGGTGCTTATGTATAATGGAGCCCTGGGCAACTTCTACAAGAATTAGGAGCCGTGGACTAGACCAGGATATGATTAAAGAAGTAGGTAGTCCCTTGTAAGAGACAGAAGACAAGTGATCCCACACAATTCCTAAGTAGTCATAGTGACAACAACAGAGAATTGTTTGTGTGTTTTGTAAAATGGGGTCATATGTAATCCAGATTAGCTTCTAGACAGTATGCAGTCAAGCCTAGCCTTGAACTCCTGACCTTTCTGCCTCCATCTCCTGAGTACTGGGATTATAGGCATGCACCACCTTGCCCAGCCTAGAACTAAAATTTGCTTTAAGCTTCTTATTAGCCCAGACTAAAAGAAACAGGGTAGGTTACAGGAGCAGGGGAGGTAGGTGAGCAGAAAGCAGGTCAACTTGGCAAGACAGCCATGCTGCTGAGGATCAGTTTCTAATCAAGAGTTATGAGAACCTTCCAGAGGGATCAGGTAACAGAGTGACACCATCAGCCAAGGTCACATATAAAGCACTCAGGGACTGACAATCTCAGGAGCCTAAAGTTGAAGGGACACCAAGGTTCCCTCTAGGTCACTGATGTGTGAATCTCTACAATGGTTTTATACAGCCTTGATGATGAATGAAATTCTTCTAACCACAGAGAAATGTATGCAACCAGAGGTCATCATATTAAGCAAAAGAAGTCAGACTCAAAAGAACTAGCACTGAGTTAAAGAGATGGCTCTGTGGTTAAGAGCACTTGCTGCTCTTCCAGAGGACCCAGGTCCAGTTCCCAGGACCTACATGGTAACTTACAATCACTTATAACCCCAGGTCCAGGGGATCTGATGTCCTTTTCTGGCCTCTGTGGGCACCAGGCATGCACCTGGTGCACGTACATACATGTAGGCAAAACCACTTACATACATTAAGAAAATGTTTATAAAGAAAGGAATATCTGGGTATTTAATCCTAGCACTCAGAAGGCAGAGGCAGGTGGATCTCTGTGAGTTCTAGGCCAGCCTGATCTACATAGTGAGTTCCAGGATAGCCAGGGTTATGTAGAGAGACTCTGTCTCAAGCAAACAAGCAAGCAAACAAACAAATAAATATTTAAAAAGAAAATAAAAGCATAGTGGTACACACCTTTAATCCCAGCACTTAGGAGGCAGAGGCAGGAGGATCTCTGTGAGGTTAAGGCCAGCCTGGTCTACATAGCAAGTTCCAAGCCAGTCAGGAATACATAGTAAGACCTTTTCTCAATAGATAGGTAGGTAGATAGATCACATTTTTCTCCCATTTGTAGGTTTTGAGTTTTATGTAGACACACAAAATTACACACACACACACACACACACACACACACACACACACACACACACACACACACTGCATGGAAGTAGAAGCAAGATGATCTGGGGAAGGAAGAGGCTTAGAAGAA